AAATTGCTCAGACTAATGGTTTCTGAATTCGGTTAATGTATGGATTGCAGAAGCAGACTACATGTGTTGATTCAGTTAGTTGTTGTGTAGTGTTCAAGAGTTCCTTATATTAACAAATCCCAAATCCGCTCATGCTTAATGTAAACCAATCTGTATGCTTTTACATTTGCAGCTGCACCAATGATGAGCAGTGCTATAACAAGTGGATCTGAGTTCTCTGGTGATGAAGAAGAAGCTGATGGTGAAACAAATATGAACCCTACCAATGTTAAGCGTGTGAGAAGGTGAAAATCTATCCCCATCTTCAAATATATATCCTCTCAGAAGACAAAATCTTGCTTGAAGTTGAAAACGAACATTGATTGTTTGTTTATGGTTGTTATTACAGGATGCTCTCTAACAGGGAATCAGCAAGACGGTCCAGAAGAAGAAAGCAGGCACACTTGAATGAGCTAGAGACACAAGTATGTTAAGATTCATTTCTTTCTCCTTCAACATTCTTAGCTCACTTATTATATAATCTCCATCTGGCAGGTTTCACAGCTCCGTTCAGAGAATTCGAAGCTCATGAAAGGTCTCACTAACATAACGCAGACATTCAATGACGCAGCTGTAGAGAACAGAGTTTTGAAAGCCAATATCGAGACATTACGCACAAAGGTAAATCCATTCTTTTACTCTCTGGTTAAAGAGTTAACCAAAACTCACTTTTGAAACATGTTTGTTTGTTTGTTTTCAGGTGAAAATGGCTGAGGAGACGGTGAAGAGAATCACAGGCTTCAATCCATTGTTCCACACTATGCCTAGGGTTTCTACAGTCTCTCTTCCTTCAGAGACATCAAATTCTCTAGACACAAGCGTCCACGTGACCACACCAGAGATCAGCTCGAGCAACAAAAGCAAGGCCTTGATCGGATGCAAGATGAACGGAACAGCTTCGATGCGTAGAGTTGCGAGCTTGGAACATCTGCAGAAGCGAATTCGAAGCGTTGGAGATCAGTAGCTGCTTATTTGTAACATTATCAAGAAAGAAAGAGATTCGTGGACAAAGTTATATGTTCTTAAAGAATTGTCTGGTTTTTTTAGTTAACCCTTTTCAAGTACTTGCACTTAGTTATTATCTCTGATTCTTTCTTCTTTATTTCAATTCATCTCCAACATCTGCAAGTTTGTATTTTGTAAATACTTCAAAAGTTAACAAAAGAATTATCAAGATACAAGTTTCATCCCTTTTAACTAGTGAGCGCAAACTTCAAAAGTTAACAAAAGAATATATCTTTATTTGCGAAATTGATTTTAATAGAATTAAAGAAGTTGA